CGAGCGGGATTTCAGTGGCGACGCCATTGGCAGCCATTTCCGTTCAAGAGCTTCAACGTGGGAGAAGGTAGTGCTCAGCCGTCATTGGCATTTACCCAGACGATTCCGTCCTTGGCATTTTTCGATCCTACCGCCATATTTGATTCTGAGTCGGGCACTTCCCGCGACAAACGCCCTAGAGTTGAAACCTACCCGGAGACTCCACTGCTACATGTCCATCTGCCGGCAACCGCCAATCTCCGCCTCGTGGTTAGTTTCTTTTATGCTTTTGGAAATATATTAGAGTTGACTCTCGTCGTACCGGCTGAAAATGGTGCTCTCACTAGAGCACTTGTCAATTATGAGTCGCCGGAGGACAGCCTGAAGCTGGCCATGAGCAACACTTTCGGATTTATCGACGGCCAAGCCGTGATCTGGCACGCTACGTCAGATCCCTGTCCGGACTACTACTGATTTGTGATCCTTGTGTAGCTCCTCAATTGTTCCTAGTTTCTGTTGCTGAATTTCTGTCATTTTTGCTAATGCAATTTGAATTCAGGGATTTGAGTTGAAATTTACAAAGAAATTAAAAAATAAAGAAAGAATTAAATAAATATAATTTTTTTGGTTTATTTCTTATCAATTTATTCATTTATTATATATTGGCTTAATTGCAAATAAAACCACGATCTTTACGCTTTTTGCAATTTAATCTCAACTTTAAGGTAATTGCAAATAAATCGCAACCTTTTTTAATTTTGGCAACCCGAACCCAAAATTGATCGGCAGCGTCATATGTGTATACGTGTCCTGGCAAACAATGTCACACTATCACACACACACACACAAAACAAAGGCTAAACTTGTCAAATTAATAATTGAATGTATATATATTTTATTCAGTTATTAATATGACGAGTTTACCCTTTGTTGTGTGTGTGTGTGAGAGACAGTGTGGCATTGTTTGTCCGAACACGTAGGCACGTATGACGCTGCCGATCAACTTTGGGTTCGGGTTGCCAAAATTAAAAATGTTGCGATTTATTTGCAATTACCTTAAAGTTGAGATTAAATTGCAAAAAGCGTAAAGATCGTGGTTTTATTTGCAATTAAGCCAATATATAATAAATGAATAAATTGATAAGAAATAAACCAAAAAAAAATATATATTTATTTAATTCTTTCTTTATTTTTTTAATTTCTCTGTAAATTTCAACTCAAATCGCCGAATTCAAATTGCTTTAACAAAAATGACAGAAATTCAGTAACAGAAACCAGGAACAATTGCGGAGCTACACAAGGATCACAAATCATAGTAGTCCGGACAGGGATCTGACGTAGGGTGCCAGATCACGGCTTCGCCGTCGATAAATCCGAAAGTGTTGCTCATGGCCAGCTTCAGGCTATCCTCCGGCGATTCA